GCTGGAGGGGCAACCTCCGGTGGGGCTGGCTTCACACCTGTGTTTGTGCATGTTTGGCTCTTGGCAGGGCTGGTTAAGTATCTCCATTTTAGCTGGACTTATTTTCCACGTGGTTTTTCATTTGTCGTTTTTCTTTAATACGTAAAAGCTAAATTTCCCCAGGCAGGGTTATGTATGTTTCTACATGTTGTGTGAACTTTCTGGGCCTTCTGTGGCTGGTTTTTTGCCCCGATAGATTTAAATCGTCCACAGTAAAAGAATGCATCCATGCGATACTGAAGGAGAAGCTGGCCAATGTACAGTATATCCCAGAAGAAATGCCTCAGCTTACAAAGTCTTTATCAGAGACAATAAAAGACAGACTGAAAGGTAAGGAGGTTTGCTGGGGAAGCAGCTTCTTTTCTTACTGTGTCCTCTCCCTTTTGACAGAATCTCTCCTTCCTCCTTTATTCTTGAAATCTATTCCTTCCCAGTTGACTGACTCAAGTCTACCATTATGAAACATTCTGGCCTATATACACACATTCCTCGCCTGCAGAACTAGAAGCCTAATTCAAGCAGACAAGATTTGTTTTCATGTAGACTGGCTGGTGTGCGATGTCAGCCTTGGAGGGGCTGCAGGGGGAAAGAAGCTACATTAGAGAGAAGGAAGAAGTGATGTTTCATTGCTTCTTGCTTCAATAAACAGAACCATTGCTGCTTTTTTTTTCTGCTGCAGGTTAGATCAGAGTTGGGTCAGAGTGGAACTGCAGGGAGATGGGAGTAAAGGGGGAGAGAGTTAGGAGCACAGTCAGCCAAGGTGGGGTGTGACTACCACCTTACAGCACTGGAAAAAGGTCGTGGTGGTGCTGAGCAGGATGCTCTCCAACATTTTTGAGTTCAAGAACTAAACTTCAGGCTCCAGCAGGTGTTTCCTACATTCGGTGCTGGAACAAGTGCATAGATGTGTGTTGGCAGGGTGACTTTTTCCCCCCTCCCCCTTCTTCCCGGGGCCGGGCTGGTGCTCCATCTGCTGGGCTGGCCTGACGCGGCGACACAGACGTACCGTGAACCACGGATTTACCGTTCTCCCAGAGTTGTGCATCTGCTTTAGGAAGCAGCAGCAGCTGTAGTCCCCGCACGTGTTGATGCCAAGCTAATACGCACAGGGCTTGGCTGCAGCGACCTGTAAACGCTCGCAGTAGCCTGAAGTGAGACTGGCCCAGTGTGACTGTTGTATCAGCTGGCATCTGACAAGCATTGATATGGTGGACGCTACCAGACCCAGCATGCTGTGTTCAATTCTCCAGTGGAAACAGCGCGCTGGAGCCTTCCCGGGACACTGCTATATGGAAGGCAGGCATTAGGATCTATATTTTATTTTAAACACGCTTGTTCTGGTTTGAGTTCTGGAACATTGCCATGGCCTGATTGGATCTGGCCTGTGCCCCCAGGGTATTGCTTTACTATTGTAAAGCAGCTGCAAATCTTTGCAGACACAAAACGTCGACCTGCTCATGCTTTTATGTAGCCTTTTATCCCAGCTCAGAAGCCAAAGAAACACCTGTGTGGCAGAAGAATCTCTACAATATCGTGGCATCAGAACAGTTTTAAAATAAGCCAGGTTTTTTCAAATTGGATTTTGTCCACCAGCAGCCTTATTTACATCCTTTCCATATGGTCAGTTCTTGAAAGTTGTCAGAGTAGAATGCTGACATATAGTTGTGTCTGTTCGGTGGTATCTTCTGCCTTAGATGCGTCTTTTGACTGATGTGAAATTCTTTGTTCACTCTCCAACTCCAGTAAGACTGTGGTACTTGCCACCCAGGAAAACGAAGCCATGAGGCAGTCTGTCCACTTTGCCACTTGCATGGACTTGTACAGGATACTGCTTTCTAACTACAAATCTTTAGCTTTCTGGGTCCTATTTTGGGCTCATATTTTAAATAAATTGTCGCTCTCACTGTTATTTTTTTTTCTCTCTCCAGAGGAGGGATTTGACAGGTACAAAATGGTGGTTCAGGTTGTGATTGGAGAGCAGAGAGGAGAAGGAGTGAAGTAAGTTTTGCATCTTCTGATTGTATTTCTATCATTTTTGTTGGGTTTGGGTGGGGTTTTTTCCTTTGGAAGCTGGTTCTGACTTTCCTAGGTCTCTCTGCAGTTGATAAAGTGTAAAACATTTTCTTTTCTCTCTAAGTGGCAAGTGAGAGCTTGGATTGTAGCTGGTTGAATTACCCAGGGATAATTGCCTGTATGGTGGTTCTTAGCAAGCTGAAATGCTGAAAAGCATGTGTCAGGAGCATTGCAGAAAGGCATTTTACATTATATTCATGACGAACTACAGCAAACACCCAGTCCGTTCTCAAGGCCCTGCTGGAGCACAAGTCATGGTAACTCACTTCTGTCTACAGCCAGATTTCCATAAGTACTTCATTTGCATTTAATCCCCCCAGGTAGGCATTTTTCAGAAGCCTGTATTTCTAGAATCCCCATGCAATACTGTCAGGGGAATCAAGCTTAGAGTGTGGGTGCTGAGCACTTGCAGTCTAGTTCCAGACGCCTGCAATCAGACAAAAGAATTCCTCTTGGCTGCAGCAGTGGGCTGTAGCTTTCCATTACTAGTGAGTAGGGAGAAGGCAAAAGAGAACAGCCCACGAGGTTCATGTGCTTTATCTGCTGGGTTTATCTTTATCATTGTGCCTGGTACTCCAGCAAAAGATAAGTGCAGCAGAGCTATAATCAGATCTGCTGCCTCTGTGCTCTGGAGGTCAAGCAGCAATATCTGTACCTGCTGCTCAGGCTTTTGTCAGGAATGTCTGTCTGCAGGCAGACCGCTCCAGAAGCACCGTACCAGGGTGAACAGCTCATTGAGGTGTGCTGGTTTGAAACGTGAAGCCCAGCAACACAGACTGGCAGAGCAATGGGGGAAATTCTCTGGTTTGCAAGAGGCAAGACGGAAGCAGGATTGCTGCCATCCTTAATGCAAAATACTGGGTAGCCAGTGTATTCCAGAGGCAGAGTGGAATATTGGACTGGAAAAAAAAAAGGCAGAATGACTCTGAGAGCCAAGGTAGAAAAGGATGAAATTCAACAGTCGTAGGACAGTAAGTCATATGTGTGGGGACTAGGAACAACATGCTGTGCCACAAACAGGGAGCTGGGCGTTTGCAGCAGAGAAAGGGGAGTGTCAATGACACCGGGCGAGGCAGTAGCGAGGTCTCACCTGTAATATCCTGTTACAGTCTGGTTGCTTGTCTCCGGGGTAAGGCTTGGACTGAAGCAAGTGTAGAAAAAGGCCAGCAGGATGGTTGGGGAACACAGAGTGTAGATTTGAAAGGACTAGAAGAGCTTAGCTCGTGGTCTAGTAACGCGATGTCTGCCAAGGATTACGATAGCTCCCTATAAATAAGTTGGGAGTATGTACCACGAGGGTGCAGGAGGTGAAGGACAGAGCAAATGAGCTAAATTAGCCACCGATACGCATAGGCGAGAAGTCAGAGATTCTTGGGCACCATAGCAATGAGGTTTCAAGCCCTGCTGCACAGTGGAGGTGGCAGGGTTGATAGCTGATGAGTTTGAAGACAGAGCTTGATAGACATACAGAGGGGTTTACAGCAGGTGGTGGAATTCAGCAGTGGGGATAGAGGCTCAGGATTCAGGAGGACACTTACTGCTTCCTTTATCTTTAGAGGAACTCAGTTTGCTTTTCGAGGAAAGTATCTGTGATCACCTAGGTCCTTGCACGTGAACACTGCGGGTAATGGCTCTGCTCTGTCTCCTTTCTCTAGTATGGCTGCGCGGTGTTTCTGGGATGCTGACACCGACAGCTATGCTCATGATGTGTTCATGAATGTAAGTATCGGCTGCTTCACCACGGGGAAGTGTAAAGCGACTTGCTTTTGTATGGGAGGCAGAGCGACCTGAAATGGGGAGCAGAAGAAAAACAACCCCTAGGAGGAAGGAAGCAAGACTCTATTGAAACAGTGTGATTTGTGTCCTCCTTCACAACGTACGCCTAGATACTATATCCAGCGTAGTAAAACTAATGTCCTGAGCAGGTCATACAGCACTGTACAAAAGTCGTGATAGTCACACCACTTTAGAGGTGGGGTGAGGAAAGGCAAGAGATAAAGTCTTACATGCTTTGCTGAACTGCTGCCATGGAGCATGGCTGGAATCCAGGACTGAGCAAAAGTCAAGGTTTTAAGGTTTTGTTTTTTTTTTTTTTTTTTTAATTTTAAACTGACCTAGACACCTGCGGGTGTGTGGATCGAGTAGGCTGAGGCGTTTCTGGCATTCAGAGACGCTGACCTGGGTTACACCACAAGTGAGGCGAATAAGAAACTAACTAAAAGACAGAAAATTGCCATCTATTGTAAAATAAGGTTATGCTCTGGTCTAAATGTTCCTTTAGTTTAGCCTTTTCCGTTAGGCTAGCAAAGAGCTTGCCTGTACTAACACGGAGCCTGTCTCTGTTTTCCCCAGGACAGCCTGTTTTGTGTGGCAGCTGCGTTTGGCTGCTTCTACTATTGAAGACGGTACACACTGCACAGGACAGAGGTGGGGGAGAACGCCTTGGGGTATTTTTTGTCAACGTGCACAAAAGCATCATGTTCTTCCTTTACTACCTAACAAAATAGCAGCTCTCCAAAGCATGTCCTACACCTGTTCTACACACTACAACATTCCTTCTTCCTTGTGGATATCGGTACAGCTTTAAGCACAATATTATTATGTCCTTTATTTAAATCACCCTTTGTTTTTATATAGTGTGTTGGTTTTGTCCTAAAAGTGTATTGCCAATATCTGTTGTTTCTCAGGCAAACTCAACTTTTGTCTTGAAAGGGTTCTGTTGCTTTTATTTTTGCTGATTTTCTGGAATGAATGAAATATTTATAAGAAATGTAACATTATAGATCGATGTGTTTCATATTACTTCTCCTGTGGGTTGACCCTTGCCATTTCTACTGTTTGGCCTTTTCCTCGGCTCTGCAAGATGCACTAGCCTGGATGGCTTCTCTGTGCTTCTCAGATGAGCGTTTTCTGAGGATTCTTTGTAAATTAGCACATAAAGCCAACCTCTTATCCTGGTTATCCAGATTTGTTCCTGTTACTGCCATAACAATTGGGCTGTGAATCCCAGCTGTGCCACACGGGATGGTATTAATTGATAGGAAGATGAGGTATTTGGGACATTAGGTCAGGCCAGCAGCCTGCACACCCCTTGACTGCCAAAAATTCTCCCTGCTGTAACTCCTCGTTGCTTTGGTTCAATTTGGCACCCGTGGACACCGTGAGTAATCACTGCTCATTGCCCTTTTCAGCAGATACTGTGGTGCTTTCTCAGTCTTTGTCTCTCTGTAATTGTTTTGGGATATGAGGGTGGATATTTGGAGCCCAAATTTGTTAGGGCTTCAGACTCGGAAAGAAGCAGTAGAAAAGGCTGCTGTAGATCTGAAAAGGAGTGATAAAGCCTCTTGCGTCCCCAAAAGTTAGAGGACCAGGTTGGTTCCTGAGAGAGTGGATGCCACCAGAGAGCATCTCGGGTGCCCATCGAAAGCCAGGATGAGTGGCTCTGTGGTGGTGCCTGTTGTCTCTGTGCTGACCGGGGAGGAAGCACAGCTGAACACCTTCAGTGCATGAATGGCTCTCAGAGTGCTGAAGCTGGGTGAGGTGAATCCTGAATCCTGCCCTCACCGACTGCTAGAGCAGAACGCGCTCTGCCCATGCAGCTCTTGGAAAGCGGGGAAGTAGCAAATTACAATGCATCTTCTAGAATCGCCCTTTTGGCTACAATCCTGGGGGCAGCATGCTCCTGTTTGTGATGTTTGTTTGAAAGTGGTTTCCTTTCATTTTCCTCGGATGAGAAATAGAGGGTGACTTCTCCGATTGCTTAGTTGCTACCTGTGGCTGTCGCCGATTAAGGGAGCTGCAGAGACGATGCAATGGTGCTGTTCAGCTTGTGCACAAGCCTGGGAGTGCAAATTTTGGGGAACAGCGAACCCCTCCACATATAGACACTTGCCAGATGATCACGTATGCCCTTGGACTCTTGTTTTGACGCTTCTATCAAGTCACAGTGATTAAATCATGATTTTTCTCCTTGCTCTTGCTCTGTTTTTGGAGTTGTTTTAACAGCTGTTTCACAAAGGCGTTGTACAAAGCAGGTTTGAGTCCGTGGTCGTTCAGGTCCGGCCACCCTTGGCCCTGGGCTGGGTACCGGGTGCTGCAGAAAGCCCAAACCGCTGCCGCAGCAACACAGGCCGGTG